AACAGCTTCAACTCACTAGCTCATGTTCTACTCTATCGAGCTTTATTTTACTTCCTGCTGTTTTGTTTTCTGTGGCATCTTTATGCTTGTACTTTTTAGCTTCCTGTTTTTAATGTTTTATCTGCCTGTACAGTGTGCTTGGGTGTTTTGATAAGGCGCTTTCAAATAAAATGTATTATTATTATTAATCCGTGACTTATACCCTAAAGGCTTCATGACCCTTTGGAAATATTATTGCATGAAATCTAAATATATACATGGAAGCTTATAAATTGCAGTAATTTGGGAAGTTCAAACATTCATGAGTTGCTGTAATTCCAACCCACTTGATCTGTTTTACTGTAATCAAGTATATATTGAGTTACATTTTATAGCCACTGAATCTTGGCTTCTAAAGAAAAGCTTCAATACCAAACACCAACACAAGATGGCAAACTTTCCATAGGCTATTCAAATTCCACTTACAGGTTTGGTCCCTCTAATTTATACACATTTTAAATAGCTAAAATGGATATTCTTTTCATTTTTATCAAAGCAAAAAATAAATAAATAAAAAATTAGCACATTTTAAAAGTACTTCCTACCTCAATGGTTAGCACTACAATAGCCAGGGCTCCAGCAACGTAGATGTATAGTTCAAAGTAGTCGACCACGGCAGAGTAACAGCCCTGTGGACACACATGAGGATGACATGCTAGGCGGTAAATCAATAGACTATAAATTTGCACAATTACAGAGATAGTTAAAGCAACATCACAGCTTCAATGGAGCGCGGCTTGGAACAAAGGGCCCCGCTGAACGAATGGGAAGCGGGGCCTGAAGCCTTTTAATGAGGGCTCTTTGTGTGAACGAGCCACACACACACACACACACACACACACACACACACACACTCCCTTAATATCTATTCATTCTTCCGATGGCACGAAAAACAACAGGTGGGAGAAAATGCTGGTGTTAAAAACCTCCCTATACCTGTTACCACTGTAATTACACTCAAGGCTCTTTCTGCACCCATGAAATAACTGATGTAGGAGTAAATTTTCATAGATATTAACGTTAAAGCTGCTTAATGTCTAATTTTTCTAATAGCCTTTATTTTTAAGCACATACTGTATATCCTCCTTAAATAACTCCATTATAGCTATGTATGCACAGACTCATCTCTTAGCTGCCTTCACGGTGCTTCACATGACCTACCGTGACACCCAGACAGAGAACAGCACTAATAAGACATGGCAGAGTAAGGCAGATCCTGAATGCGTTTATCAACTGTTTTCTGCTCTAATTAAGCCTGGAGGAGGTCTAGAATGAGGCTGAGAGGGGGAAAAGCTAAGAGGTTAACATGGCTGGTGCCAGAAGTTACCTTGTTATAGCGGAACATCATATTGCCTGATAAGCACTGCTCCTGGCTGCTATAGACTCTCTCTCCGTTCACAAGGACGCGCTGGCAGCAGGCTTCTGGCACCATGTGATTCTGGTTGTTCAGCCTGAACAGGCTGTCCTTAAAATCCTCTGGGCTGTTCACTCCACAGCAGTCAAACTAAAAAGAAGGAGAAGATGTTATTGCCAAGCTCCTTTGTGTCGTGACCTGTGGTCAGTTGCATGTGGGCACCAACCAAGCATAAATATTGGCCTAAATATGAAGGTTTTTTTTTTTAAAATAGCAATTTACGGCCTGTGTGCAGAGTGTCAGGTAAAAAAAGAGCCCATTGTTGCTTACTGTGGTCATAATGGCGTTCCATGTGGATGTGAAGACGTCACTGTTGTTGTAGCCCTGATAATGACTCTTCAGCTCCTTGGTGAAGTACTCTCTGGTGAGCTAAACCAACAAACAGAACGAGCAAAGATTAACCAATAAGTCTTAAAGGTACATCAAGCAAAAATTCATCTGCTTCTGTCTCCTTGAAACCCAGTCGGCCTCAGCAGATGGCCGCTCACACTGAGCCTGGTTCTTCCTGTTCAAAGGGAGTTTTTCCTCTCCACTGTCGCTACAAGCATGCTTAGTGTGAGGGATTGCTGAAGAGTCAATGAGTCGATGCAATCNCTTCCTGTTCAAAGGGAGTTTTTCCTCTCCACTGTCGCTACAAGCATGCTTAGTGTGAGGGATTGCTGAAGAGTCAATGAGTCGATGCAATCAACTTGTTTTCCTTAGATAGAAAACTTGACTGGATGATCTGGTTGAACTGGAAAGTGCCTTGAGACGACATTTAATGTGAATTGGCGCTATAGAAATAAACTGAATTGAACTGACATCTGTGGACACAAATGGCATCTATTTAGACCACTTTGTCAAAATGAGAAAAATGTCTGTAACACATATGCAACAGACAGATCAATATACCTCAACATTCAATTTACACAATTTTTAAGTCAGTTTTCAAAGACAAAGTCCTCCAAACAGATGCAAACTTAATGATAAAAAAATGTGCAGCAAACCTCTTAAAAATATCCATACATGGCAGCGAGATAAAAGAAAATCTACCAAAGCTGATTCAGAGGTGATGCAATGAGTATCATCACCAGGTTTCCATGACAACCATCAAACATAAGAAGCCTTTTCTGCCCTGCAGCACCATTAGAAGCATAACAATGCAGAGGTTGCTTGTGGTTACTGAGACCTGCATCAAAACATGGTGGATTTTAGAAGTCAACGCGCCTCTGCTACCGTCCTGACTGGCCAAGAGAGCTAGTCACAGGACTGCATCAGCTGATTTCTGTCAGGGAAGGCTGGCTCCACAGTTAGAGTGCTTTATGTTGCGAGGATGCAGGGTTCGTGTCACTAGCCAGCAGCAAGCGTAAAATTGATCCATCTGTTCGGCCTGACAACAGGATTGCAGAAATGTCCAAGAAAAGTTACAATCAGATGAGGGAAAATGTTACACCACTACTTTACTTTAACAGTAACTGGTAAGCTGTGTAAGGTTTTATCTTTGTATCTGCAACTTGCATCATGAGCTGAATTATGCATTAAACTTGATCCAAAACAAACGTGTTGGTTCATTTTTTTATGTTTATACAAGAGACTTGGAATGTAGTCCATTTTACTTCATTTTTTACTTGCTTTAATCTCTTTTAAAATTGGTTGTTCTAGTTTACTTTAATTCATGATTGGTAAAACAGTTATCTTGTGTGGAATTATATGCACCAGTGTTTTCCTTTTGTTTTTTCCAAGAATTTTAGTTTAGAAAGCGTTATGTGTCAAAGCAAAAATTATTTTAGTTTTTCTCCAAATAGTCTAGAAGCTGTAAACTGTGGAGAGGTCGGCCAGGCAGAGATGTGGGTAGAAATCCCAGCATGCATTGCATGCTGAAGACAACTCCCGGTGCACAGAGGGGTAGAAAATAGAAGTGATTGCACCTTTCATCCAATCCTAATTAAAAAAGTAAGCAGCCGCTGTACTCAGTTCAAGGCATGAAGCTTATTGGTCAACGCGTATTAGATATCTTTTTTACTTTTTCGTTTTGCTTTGAGCTAAACAGAGGTGCTAAATAAATGAGCTGTGAGTTTGTTTCCTCTCAATATGCAGATGTGCCATTGT